CGAACGACGGTCGCAGTTTGTTTGCTATCGAATTTGATCGACTAAATGGCAAAATTTATGGTAGTTTTTGAAATTCTGTTATCATTTTGAAATTTTATTATTATTATTTTCATATTTTATTTTTAGTACCAGTATTGTTATTTATTTATTATCGTTATTGAATATCTATATTTTCGCCACTGCTAATGATTTAAATCATTGTCAGTATCATCATCGTAATGCTGTTTAATGAAATTCGAAAATTGTTCTTTCAGAAGCGATAGATGAAAGTTTCAATCAACCATCGACAACAAGAAATGATATGAGTGATGAGAACGAAGATGCGATATCAAAGGAGAATGATGAACGAATCAAGAGTATGACTTCGGACGAAATCCTGAGTGCACAACGTGAAATCGTTGAACGATTCGGTTCGAATACGCATTTAGTTCGCTAATTTTGTCGCGTTATTGTCAAGTTATGACCTCAGACTAGCGATCAAATTTTCTTGAGAACTTTTTATAAACATTGGTTGTTAATAGCTTTCGGTTGGCGTTTCATCTCTCAGCTCTTAAATCAGTTAATTTCACAGTCAGTCAACTATTTGTGATCGAAATGTTTTGATTTGCCGTTTTGCAGATCCAAAATTAATCGAGTTTTTGCGAACACGGTCACGAAAGAAGGCGTCAAAAGCACCGGCGACTGAGGAGAATCGTAAAGGTATGGTTCGTACGCGTATGTTATTTGAGTAATGTATTATTCTAATTCCATTTTTCTTCCGCTTCTTTTATAATCGAATCTCTATAAAAATAGTTAAAATTTATAAAAAGATCAGTGAAAATTGACCGGTGTTATAATTGCAGAATCTCGCTTCAAACAAATTCGTGAGATGGGAAGTAAAAATTATGAGACGAGCGGACTTGAAAACGAACAGGACAGTGCAACTGATAATGTGGTAATAAAGGAAAAATTGGACAGTCTTGAGGTGTTTCCGGCGGTAACGAATCAGGTCAACACGAAACGAATCGATGATGATAACACCACTCCGTATACTCGTTTGGCTGTTGTGAGTTGTTATTATTAACGGGTTTAGTGCTACATTTTTGATGATGTGAATCAATATTATTTATGATATTTTCATTTTATGGCTGTGTTGATATACTTTCGTTCAAGTGAATTTTAAGTCATACTTTTGATTTCGTGATTCGTTTTTTTTTGATTTTGACAGGAATGGTAGTTGATGTCAATTGTTTAGGAGGCTGTACAATTGGATTTTGCTACAAAATGTTTACGAACTATAATACCTCGTCAGCAGCAGAATATCGTTAGGTTGTTCGACAGTTTTACAAAACCACTGGAGTTAGTTTCCTCTTCTTTTTTACCTATCCATTTTTGTTTATGGTGAATGATCGTAATTCGCTTGTGTGCCTTCAAGTCAATTGTAATATGTGTTTGAGTTTATTCATAGATCGGTACAATTCTGATGTGTTTTATTTAAGAGGATACGAAGGTAATGATG